CCGTAGCTTAAGAGGTAAAGTTCCCCGCCTTTCCCGAAGATCCCTCCCCCCCACACACACACCTTTTAAAGATACGTTTGCAGTGATCGGGATTGGGGAGGGGGTCACTCCAGGCGACCGACTTTGGTTTACTTCGGATTTACTCAGAAGCGGGCGGCTCCAGCGGAGACCAGAGAAAGTGACTTACCTTAAAACTTTCCAGCTCTTCCGAGGGTCCAAGTCGGGGATGATAGAAACCATCGTTCCGTCTCTCTCTCTCTCTCTCTCTCTCTCTCTCTCTCTCTCTTTCTCTCTCTCTTTCTCCGTTTAAAGGCCAAGCAGCTTCGGAGATGCGGCCGGGAAGCGGGACCGAAGAGCCCAAAACGGCCGGGAAAAAAAAAAGAAGAAAAGGACGCGCGCGCTTGCTTTCCCCGGCTCTCGATCTCTTCTCGCGCCTTCCTCCTCCTCCACCGCACCGCAAGGAAAGTCACCGGGCTGCGCCTCTCTGCTTTGATAAAAGCCCCGCCGCGCTCTCGCGTTTTTGGAAAAGAAAAGCGAGCGGGGAGGGGGAAGGGGGGAAAAAAGCGCCCGAAGGCTCCAAGCGCTGCCCTTTCGCCGGCTCGACTGGGCTCGGCCTCCGCACAGTCCGCCCCTGCAGGCGGCAGGCGCAGGGGGAGGCTTACTCTTCACCTTCAGGGAAGCGCCAGCGCCAGCGCCTCCGCCCGCAACGGGCTGAAGCTCGGGGCCCGATTGCTGCAAGATGAAGAGTTGCTGTCCGCTGAGTTGGGATAGGTCGGGGGGTGGGATGGGGACGTGTGAGGGGAGGGGGGCTACTTTCCACGGACTGACTTCCCGGCTCAACAGCGGGGAACCAGAGGCCAGAATTTAGGGGGAATTTCTCTCTCTCCTCCCCCCCCCGATTTTGTGACACCCTAAAAACTCACCCATCCTTCTCTTTTCTCTCTTCTCTTTTTACTCTTCCTCCCCTCTCTTTTTACTGTTCATCTTCTCTTTTCTCATTATTTCCCCTCTTTCCTTCTCTCTTTTCCCTGCCTTTTCTCTTCTTCTCTATCCTTCTCTCCTCCTCCTCTTCTCTTTTTCATAGCTGATTCAGGAATTCTGGGAATTGAAGTTCACAGGTTGTGGCCATAGTTGCCCACCTCTGTCCTAGTAGATATCTTTCTTGGAGAAGACTTTAAAAAAAAAAAAAAAACCATCACACATTTCAGGCTTTTGCCCAACTAATGAGACAAAAGAGACAAACAGGCTGGCAAGAGGAGGTAAACTTGTGATTTATTGTTCAGAAGGCAGCCCCTGGGGATAAAACAAATTGTTTTTAGTATTAACAGAGGGATACAATCAAGATCAAGGGAAGTACTAATACCACTCTTTAAAGCCTTAGTAAGACCACACCTAGAGTAGTACATCCAGTTTTGGTCACCACATTATAAAAAAGATGTTGAGGCTCTAGAAAAAGTACAGAGAAGAGCAACCAGGATGATTAGGGGACTGGAGGCTAAAACATACAGGAACTGGGCTTGGCTAGTCTAGTAAAGAGAAGGACCAGGGGAGACAGGATCGCAGTCTTCCAATATTTAAGGGGCTGCCACCAAGAGGAAGGGGTCAAGTTATTTTCCAAAACACTTGAAGGCCAGTCAAGGAATAATGGATGGAAACTGAACAAGGAGAGATTCAACCTGGAAATAAGGAGAAACTTTCTGACAGTGAGAACAATCAACCCATGGAACAGAAGTTGCCTTCGGAAATTGTGGGAGCGCCATCACTTGAGACTTTCAAGAAGAGATTGGAGTGCTATTTGTCAGAAATGGTGTAGGGTCTCCCGCTTGATTGGGGGGTTGGACTAGATGACCTCCAAGGTCTCTTCCAACTCTGATTATCTGTTAAATCTGAATAAAATCTATGCTCAAATGCTTGGGTTTCTATTATGGCCTGTCTTTGTCTTTGCAGAAGGAAAATTTTCTTCAGGTTCTTTGTTATGGTAACAGTCAGCTTTGATGTCTATGGATATTCTCAACCATCCAGGTCAGGGGTCAGCAACCTTAAACACTCAAAGAGCCACAACGGTCCTGACCGGAAGCCCCCCCCATTCAATTCTGGAGCCGACTGGAAGTCCAGTTCCCCCACCATAGTGTCTCCTCCTTCCCCCACCATAGAGACTCTTCCTAATAGAGACTCTTCCTTTTTCCTCTACCTGTCCTAACTGAAAGCCCTATCCGTTGTGGAGCCTTAGCAGAGGGATGAAAGAGCCACATGCGGCTCCAGAGCTGTGGGTTGCCAATCCCTGATCCAGGTCATGGTTGTCCCAAAACTGCTTTTCCCAAAGGCAACTGGACTTTCTTTGGGGAGTTTTTTTTCCCCTTTTGTTTCTCACCCAAGAAGTTTGTTCAGTTCCTTGGGTGAGAAGCAAAAACTTCTCAATGAAAAAAAACAAAAACCAGCAAGTCCAGTAGCCTTTTCGAAAAAGCACCTTTGCGACAGTAAGATCTGGTATCACACCAGTGGTGCTATTCGACCGTTTCAGCCCGATTCTACCAAGCCGGTAGCGGCGATGAGCACCAGAGACCGAACTGATTCTCTCCGACGCTCTGCTGTTGGGCCCACCTCTGAATTTGAAGCGCAGCTGCTTTGTGCAGCAAGCAGGTTGCTGTGTGTCAGCTGCCAAAGCGACAGGGAGAGTGCGGGATTGCAGGAGGCGAGTTGGAAACACCTGCGCAAAGTGCACATTTGGCGCATGTGCATGTGCAAAGGGTGTGCGCGTGCACCCATCTAGCCATGCCCACCAAACCGGTGGCAAATTTTTTTGAAACGCACCACTGTATCACACCTAATGTGAAGGTCCGGTATTTGACTGGTTGCTTTTGATTGTAGAATAATGTCCCAAATGTTCTACTTTAACACCAACCTAGTTCAGGATAAGTGAAGTCTGTCTCCTTTGTGGGTAGAGTTGAGAAGAAGGCAACCTATGGGAATAAGGTAGAAAAATTGTTCCTAGGGTATAAACATAAACTGTTTCAACTCCTTCCCTCAAAACGTCGCTACAGAGCACTGCACACCAGAACAACTAGACACAAGGACAGTTTTTCCCCCGAATTCCATCACTCTGCTAATCAAATAATTCCCTCAATACTGTCCAACTATTTACAAAGTCTGCACTACTATTACTATTAATCTTCTCATCACTCCTTATCACCCATCCCCTCCCACTTATGACTGTACGCCTGTAACTTGTTGCTTGTATCCTAATGATCTTTATTGACTGTTTCCCAGTATGATTTGACTGCTTATTGCACCCTATGACTATTATTAAGTGTTGTACCTGATGATTCTTGTCTCTTGACTAATGTATTTTTTTTTCTTTTATGTATACTAAGAGCATTTGCACCAAGACCAATTCCTTGTGTGTCCAATCACACTTGGCCAATAAAAGAATTCTAATTCTAATAATTCCAATCCCCAAAGGTGTTTTTTCAAGTGGTAACTGAACTTCCTTGTTTTTTCTTTGAAGACATTTCGCTTCTCCTCCAAGAAGCTTCCCCATTCCCCAGTCAGAGCTGAAGAAGCTTCCTGGAGGAGAAGCGAAACGTCTTCAAAGAAAAAACAAGGAAATCCAGTTGCCTCTTTAAAAAAAGCACCTTTGGGATAACCATGACCTGGAGGAGCTGAGAGAATCTCCGTAGACGCTTATCTATGCATTTTGTGATGAACAACCTTTGAATGGTGCAGGAATATGAATGGATTTCCAGAAAAAAATTGCAGACTACAAGAACCATGTGCGCTTCAGTTTGGAATTCAGACAACACAGACTCATCCTCAACAGCCTGCGCCTGTCTTCAACAGGGAAGGAACACAGGGAAGAAAACATCCTGTGGAAAGCACCATTCCCCAACACAGTTTTTTTCAGTAGTTCCATGAAGGCTCCACACCCATTTGCATTACTCAGGTGATCCTAATGACACAAAAAACCTCCAAGTGGCCTCAACGGCTCTCTAAAAAGAATGCAAATGACCAGCTGTCTGCAAGGAGTATAAAATCCTTCCATTCCCAACCATCCAGTCAGAGCTGAAGAAGCTTCTTGGATGAGAAGTGAAACGTCTTCAAAGAAAAACCAGAAAGTCCAGTTGCCTTTTGGAAAAAAAAAGCACCTTTGGGACAACCATGACCTGGATGATTTGAAAATGTCCATAAACATTTGACTGTGGAATAACTAGTTTGATTTATTTACAGGTTGTCCCAGACTTACAACAGTTCATTTAGTGGCCATTTTGAAGTTACAACATCACTGAAAATAGTGTCTTATGACCATTTTCCACAGGGGTGGGATCCGACAGGGTTAACTGCCGGTTCGGTGATTTACGAGGTTCAGTGATTTATGATGTGCTTCCCTGCACGCTGCGCACGTGCCTGTAAATAGTCATCAGCTTGCTGCCTGGACAGCTGAGCAGCGCTGCGTGCAGGGAAGCAGCATTTGAAAAAGCACTTTTTTCCTGCTTTTTCAACCGCACCTGTGATTCGCATGGCAGCTGAGGTTGAAAAAGCAGGAAATAAAGGTCAGGTAAGAGCCCGAGTGGGCAGGTGGGCCAAAACATTAGCAGACATAGAACTGGTTCTATGTCTGCTGCTCTTCAGAGCTACCAGTTCTACAGAGCCAAACAGAACTGGTAGAATCCCACCCCTGATTTTCCACCTTTATGGCTATTGCGGCATCCTCATGGTCACATGATTTACATTCAGATGCTTGACAATTACATTTATGACGGTTGCAATGTTCAGGAGTCATTTGGCGACCTTCTGACAAGCAAAGTCAATGGAGAACCCAGATTCACTTAACAACCGTCTTATTAATTGCAGTGATTCACTTAACAGAAGTGGCAAGAAATATCGTAAAATGGGAACAGATTCGCTTAGCAAATTTTTCACTTAACAACATAAATTCTGTGTTCAACTGTGGTCAAAAAGTTGAGGACTACCCTGTATGAAAATGATCTTATTAGATATTAGAATTCTTTATTGGCCAAGTGTGATTAGATACACAAGGAATTTGTCTTGGTGCAAATGCTCTCAGTGTACATAAAAGAAGAGATACATTCGTCAAGAATCATAAGGCACAACACTTAATAATAGTCATAAGGTACAATATGCAATCAAATCATACTAAGAAACAGTCAATATAAATCATAAGGATACAAGCGACAAAGTTACAGTCATACAGTCACAAGTGGAAGGAGATGGGTGATAGGAACAATGAGAAGATTAATAATAATATTA